CCTATTTGAATGCCTTTTATTTCATTCTCTTGTCTGATAGCATTGGCTAGGACTTCCAGCACTATATTGAAAAGTAATGAAGAACGTGGGCAGCCTTATCTTGTACCAGTTTTTAGTAGAAAAACTGAAAGCTTTTCCCTATTCAGTATAATGTTAGTAATTGATTTTTCATAGATGGCTTTTATTATGCTGAGACATGATTCTTCTATGCTGATTTTGCTGAGTGTTAATCATGAAGGGATGTTGTGTTTCGTCAAATGCTTGTTCTGTATCAATTGAAATGATCATATGGTTTTTATCTTTCTTTCTGTTGATAACGGTGTTTTATGTTTATGGTTTTGCATGTGTTGTACCACCCTGGCAACCCTGGAATAAAGCCTACCTGGTTGGGATGAATAATCTTTTATATATGTTGTCAGATACAATTTTCTAGTATCTTGTTGAGAATTTTTGCATCTATATTCATCAGAAATCTTGGTCTGTAATTTTCCTTTCTTATATTCTTATCTGTTTTGGGAATGAGGATGATGGAAGCTGCATAGAATTTGGGAGGGTGCCTTCCTTTGGATCATAGAAATAATTCAAGAAGATTGGGGGTTACTTCTTTAAAAGTTTTGTAGATTTGAAGTGAAGCCATCAGGACCTGGGCTTTTCTTGGCTGGGAGGTTATTTATTACTGATTCAGTCTCATTGCTTGTTATGGATCTATTCAGGCTTCCTATGTCTTCCTGAGTCAGTGTTGGTAGATTATATGTTTCCAGGAATTTGTCCATCTCATCCAGGTTCCCTTGTTCGTTGGCATATAGATGCTCATAGTGTCCTCTAATGGTGATTTGTATTTCTATATGTCTGTTGTGATATTGCCTGGTTCATTGTGAATTTGATTTATCTGGTTCCTTTCTCTCTTCTTATTAGTTTAGCTAATGGTTTGTCAATCTTGTTGATCTTTCTAAAGAACCAGCCTTTGGTTTCATTTATTTTCTGTATAGTTTATTTATTTTGTGTTATATTTATTTCTGCTCAAATCTATTATTATTTCTTTTCTCCTGGCATTTTTTTGCATTTGTTGTTGTTGTTTTTCCAGTTCCTGAGGCATATGTTAGGTTGTCCATTTGCTACCTTTCTGCCTTTTTCTTATATGCACTAATTGCTATGAACTTCCTTCTTATGACTGCTTTTGCAGTGTCCTAAATATGGAAACTCACGCATTCATTATCATTTGTTTCCATGAATCTATTGATTTCAGTCTTAATCTCTTCAGTAGTTGTGATGTCATTCAGGAGTA